TATATATATATTTATTTATTAATATTTTGAATTACCTTTTTGTTTTGAGTTTCCACTTTAATTTTAGTTTGTTGTATTAATTTTATGTGCTTTAGTCATTTTTATTTGTTTTTAAATAATTCTATATATTTTATTTTTTATTTCAGTTTTAGTTTTAGTAATTTTACTAAACTGTAAATTCAATTTTAGTACATTTTGTAAATTCAACGTATTTTTTTGGAGGACATTTTACAAGAATTACTATTTCAGTTTTTCTATGCAAAACTTCTAAATGAAAAGTGTACTTCAAGAAATGTATTTATTTATAATTTTAGTTTCATGTAATATTTATATTCTATTTTATTTCAGCTTTACTTCAATTACCCAAAATTATTTTTAATTGTTTATCTTTAGTTTTATTTAACAATAACATCACTGGTAAAAACATTCAAACAAACAAACAAACAAACAAATGCATTTAATTTAATTTAATTTATGGAAATAATTTGCAGCCCCCCCCCCTATAAACTCCATTCGGCCACGGCACTCCCAGCACACTGGGGCATGAACCTGAGCGATCCGGCCAAGCATGAAAAAATGAGAATTTGAGAAGAGAACAGCAGCCATGGGACAAACCATCGCAGTTCTAAAGGTCGAGCACAGCCTGGTAACCCGACTTTAGGATGGAAGTGTGTTAGATGCGCAAAATACAGTGTGTTTAGACTGTGCATTTTTGTATTTAATGTGCTACTTGTGATTTCTGATTTGAAGATGGTTTAGGATATATTTGTCGAAATTGAGTTGAAATACTGTAAATCACAAGTTCATTTACTCACCTTAATGTCATTCCAAACCCAAATGACTATATTGTTATATTTTTATATCATTGTATTGTATATTATTATTTTAAGAAAAATATTAAGAATTGTACTATTAAGAATAGTAACATATTAAGAATAACTCAAAAAGAGTTTTAAAAATCCTGCCAAACATCACATGGCTTGACCAACATGTAGAAACCAGTGTTTAGTATTATACATACATAGTATTTATTCATATTTTGAATTAGCTTTTATTTTTATGTTTTCAGTTTTCATTATAATTTTTGTTTATGTGTTAGTAATTTTATGTAAACAAAATTCAATCTTTATTTTAGTTTTAGCAATTATAGATTCAAGTTTTGTTTAGTGTAATATTTTTTTTATTTTTTTATTTGAGTTTTTTTTTATTTTATTTAACTTCGTTAGCTTGGTTACAGAAAATGATTTCGAATAGTTTAGCTTTAGTTGTACTTGACAATAACAAGTCAAGTCAATTTACCTTTATTTGTATAGCGCTTTATACAATACAGATTGAGTCAAAGCAGCTTCACAGTGTTAAACAGGAAAAACGCGTGCTGATAATGCAATAGGACAATAGTAAACAGTCAGTTTATCAAAGTCAGTTCACTGTGATTCAGTGATGTCATCGTCCAGCTCAATTCAGTTTTTTTTATTAATTATTAATTCATCATATTTGATGAAAATACTGTTTACATGTATTCAAGTTTATAAGGAAACTTACTTAAAAAATGAAAACTGAAAAAGAAAACAAAAGCGGCATAAAGTACTTCATATGACTCGCACCAATACAGTAAGTACTGTAGTCTTCATATAATAGCTTACTGTGAGGGAAAAGACTGACATTTAAGTCATGATTAACTTATAATATTTCTCCTCGGTTGGTGGTTAACAGCTGTGACAAGATCTCAACTCGAATGAATTCCTGAATGAATTATTCAGATTGGTTTTGTGAATTGGGACTCAAAAACAGTTTATTCATGAATCAAGCATTGCTACATCTCTCATAAACTCTCATGAACTGAAATAACTTCAGGGTGAGGAAATGATGACAGAATTTTTTCATATGTGTGAAGTATGGCAGTAATGATACAGTAGTTGTTACATTCAAAGGCATTTTAACATTTCTGAGTGGCAATGCCATATTTTAAAAATTAATGCAAATAATATGGTCCATTAGCATAACTATAAGCTGCTGATCATTGTAGCAACGAGGCAACATAAATAAATATGTGTGTGTGTGTGTGCATATATATATTAAGAATATATATATATATATATATACAGGTGCATCTCAATAAATTAGAATGTCGTGGAAAAGTTCATTTATTTC